GCTCAGGAAAATCAACCGTCCCCACAAACACCTGTGCTGACAAGCACACACGCAAGCACACATCCACGTAACAGAAAGTAATATCAAAAGTCACAAAACTGTAAGAGAAGAGGATGTGATGATTCTCGGAGACAAAAACTCATCCAGTTGCACAAGAACAAGACTTAAAAGGGCTGGAAAGATGGCTCAGTGGATAAGAGCAGTGTCTGCTCTTCCAAAGGATCTGGGTTCAATTCCCAACACCCACATGGCAGCTCACAACTGTCTGTAACTCCAGTCCCAGGGGATCTGACACCCTCACACAGACATACATGCAGATAAAACAGCAATGGACATGAAGATAATAAATACTTTAAAATACGGGCATGGAGAAAGGACTCCGCACATACATTAAGCAGCTCTCAAAACACTCAAGGGATCTGACACCCACACACTTTTTTTTTTTTTTTTTTTTTAAAGAGACCAGGTTTCTCTGGGTAGCCCTGGCTATCCTAGAACTAGCTCTGCAGATCAGGCTGGCCTCAATCAAACTCAGACCTCGTGGGTGCTGGGATTAAAGGCGTGGTGCACCATCAGCGTCTCACCTAGATTCACTTTTATGTTACCTGTAGTGTTTTTCCTGAATGTATGTCTGTGCACCACTGTGTGCCTGCTACACTGGTGAGGCCAGAAGGCTGCACCGGAAGCTGGAACTGGAGTTATAGATGATTTCAAACCGACACTTTAGTGTTGAAAATGGATCCTGGCTCCTCTGGAGGAGCAACAAGGGATCTCAGCGGCTGAACCATCTCTCCAGCCTCCAAAGGGACTCTTTTTTTTTTTTTTTTTTTAAGAAAACTGTCTAAAAGAGGGTGTGGTAATGCACAGAGGTAACCAGGGCAGCAGAGTGGGATTTAGGCCAATGAATTTCTGAGAGTTAAAGGCCGGCGTGGGCTAGAGAGGGGAGACTGTGCCTCCAACACAGAACAACAAAGGTGGTCTTAAGCGAGATGCTAGAAAAGACGCTCAAATTATAACCAAACACACGCGTGCCAATCAGGCTCGCTTTACCTCGACGCTCGGAGTGGTTTCCGGTGGCGCTTGCAGACACTGGGAGCGGTACACCTTCCAGCTGAGGGGCAAGACAGAGGCCGTGAGGGCTCCGCCCGCGACGTCCAGCCCCGGCCCGCCCCCTCCGGGCCAAGCGGACCCGCCCGCCTACCTGCGCGTCTCGCCGTTGCCGCAGCCGGGCCGGGCGCAGGCGAACACGTGCAGGAGCCGGTGGAACGGGGAGCCCTCCAGCGGGCAGTACACCTGCACGACGAGCGAGAGCCGCTGTTCGCAGCGGCCACACCGCGGCCTCGGAGCCGCAACGGCCGGTAGGGCGTCCTGGGGGGCGGGGAGGGGGCGGGCAGGCGCTCAGACCCCGGGGGCCCACTCCGCCGCCCCCCACCCCGGGGACCCCCTCCTCCGCCGCGGCCTCGCAGCCCCGCGCTCACCGGGAAGCCGCCCAGCTTGCTAGCCGTCCAGGCGGCGGGCCCCTTAGGGCAGCCGTCCACAGCGGCGTCTCGAAGCCCCAGCAGTACCCGTTTCCGGCCGGCCGCCATACCCACCGCGCTCCCACGGGACGGCGCGAGCTACGGCGGCCGACGGGGAGCGCCGTGTGCGCACGCGCGCCGCCGGCCCCGCCCCGTAGCTCCTCGGCGGACCCGACGGGGCGGGGCCTTCTAGCTGACAGGTTCCTGAGTGTGCCCTGGGCTTGAAGGCTCGGGAACCGGCGGGTTTTACTTCTGATACCCTGAGATAGGACCTACGGAAAGGTTTAACTAAAAATTGGGAACTGGAGACAGGGTAACGGAATCGGCAATCAACAAGCAACAACAACAGAAAGACCGTCCTTTTGAAAGTCACTTAAAAACCCGTGGGGAAGACGGGTGATGGGAGGCAGAGGCTGGGGGAATCTCTGTGAGTTCGAGGCCACCCTGGTCTATAAAGCAAGTCCAGGACAACCAGGGCTACACAGAGAGACCCTGTCTCAGAAAAACCAAGATTTGAGCATGTACATCGGTGGCTCATAACTGCTTGCACCTCCAGTTCAAGGGTTACCAGGAACACACATGGCGCATGTTAAAGGAGCTCTGGAGTACAGTTGGAACTCAATAGTGAAACTCAAGCCAGCCCTGGTTATGGTTTGAGATTATCTCAACGAAACAAAACCCTGCAGGCGGGACCAAATCAGCCAGTGGCCTTCAGGCAAGTGAGACGCCGTCTCAATAAATACAAATGACACCCCCAGAGAATTGCCGACTGAGGTTATCCAGTGCCCTCCACAACAACCAAGTGAAAGAGGCTGTAAATGCTATTTAAAATTTTCTAGTGGCCGGAGAGATGGCTCAGTGGTCAGAAGCACTGGGCGCTGTCCCTGAGGATCTGGGTTCAATTCCCAGCACCCACGTGGCAGCTCCCAACTGTCTGTAATTCCAGGATCCAACACCCTCATGCAGGCAAAACACCAATGTACATAAAATAAAAATAAATATTTAAAAAAAAATCTTCTAAATGATGGGAAGTCTTACTTTAACCCGAGTAGAGGACACACCACCAGCCTTACAGTGGTTGGCCTCGGCACCATCCAGAGCCTGGATTAGCACGGTACTAACGCAGCAGACTTAGAGCTGTGTGAAGTCCGACTTCAGGTTGAATCAGCGAACACAGCCTGGCAGGCGTTTCCTCTCGGCTAATATCTCCCAAGGCTTGTGTGTGTGTGTGTGTGTTCCCATGTGATAGGAACTGGAAGTAGGATGTTAAAAGGTCTCATTTGTGTGACAGCGCCTATGCCGACGTGGGCGTGAGCACAGGTGTCGGCATCACTCTTACGCCCCTGAGCTGGCTCTCCAATCTCAAGGTGTGGTTTTAAAATCCATATATGAACCAGACAAAATTCTGGGCCTTGCCAGCCCAGCGTCTGTTTTTTATTAGTGTGAGGAATCAAACTTAATGATGTCAAGACTTCTTATTTTGGTTGCTGGTTTTCAGGTCACAGTGTCCTGGTTGGCCCTGTTAGCACAGCCCAGTCATCACAGAGAGAGAAGCCCCAATCCAGGAATCGCATACATCAGGGCAGTTGGTGCGGTGGGGACAGAGAGCCACCCAGCACATCTGGGTTCCACTGCTTTGAGGCCACCACTGCAGTGTGAGGGTGTCAGCAAGACTGTTCACCTCCCCAAAGGTGGCCGCCAGGACGCAAGGGAAGAAGAGACCTCTCAAAGCCACCATGTTCTCGCAGTCATTTTTCTCCAGCTAAGACCTTTTCCCTACCACTTTCCAATAGCGCCACCTGCTGGACACAAGCCTCACACCCCTGGCTGGCCTCTCCAGTATCTGCTCACCTCCTAGCAAGTAGTCATGCATGATAGAAACTGAACCCAGGCCTTCAGGGTGTTCTAACACTGACCTACGTCTGAGACCCTACTGCCTATGTAATGCTTTGAAACCAGTTTCTACAGCGTAACGAGAGAAACCTGCAACTTGCTCACTCACCCAGGCTAGCCTCAAGTTGTACAATTTATATCTGTTTTTTTTTTGGGGGGGGGAGAGGGGGATGAGGAGGGCATGCATGCCACAGTACACATGACAAAGTTGTCACAGGACTTTAGGGTCGGTCAATCCTTCCACCTTCCATGGATCAAATTCGGGTGAGCAGGCGTACACTGGAACGGCCCCCACGGACTCACGTTTTGAATACTTGGCCCACAGGGAGTACAGTGGCCTTGCAGGAGGGCGTCACCCGCATCTCACACACTCAAGCTCGGCCTAGTGTGGCATTCGCTTCTGCAGCCTTCCGATCAGGATGCGAGCTCCCAGGGCCTCCAGCACCATGCCTGTGTCTTCCGCCATGCTTCCTGCCATGTCAGTAACGGACTGGCAGTCCCAAGGAAATGTCTCCCTCTGTAAGAGCTGCCACGGTCACGGTGTCTCTTCACCACAACAGAAATGCTAAGACAAGTGTTTTTACGCACCGAGCTGTCTCGCTGGCTCTCAGTTAACACGGAGTAAAGGAGAGTGGTTTGACTTGCCAGTCTCACAAAAGCACACGTGACAGCCAGGACAGCAAGGATGCCCAGCCGAAGTTTTCTTTTGAAGGGTTTACCAGAAGGCTCAGCAGTGAAGAGCACTTGCCGAGGACCCAAGCTGCGTGGCGTACAACCAGCCCCCTGTAAAGGCATTTCCCCCCGTAAAGGGGTGTGATGCTCTGCCCTGGCCTCCGCCAGCACAAACACAAAGATGGCTCAGTGGTGAAGATTCTCCAAGCCTGACATCCAGAGTTTTATCCCCGGACTCCACTCGGTGGAAAGAGACCTTCCAGAAGCCACTGTCCTACCTACACACACACACACACACACACACACACACACACACACACACACACACTAAGTAAATACATGGAACTTAACAGTTCATACCTGGGTTTTGGTAGCAAAAAACAAAAGCAAAACAAAATAACAAAAACCTAGCTAGTGAAGCGGATAGTTTTTCCACTTTACCGAGATGAGGAGTGAAAGGTGACTGGAGATCAAATTTGACCTCCTAACTTTGTGTGTCCTGGAACTCAGTAGTCCAGGCTGGACTTGAACTTGGAGATCCGCCTGCCTCTGCCCCCCAAATGCTGGGATTAAAGGCACGTGCCGCTGCCACCACCACCACCACCCAGATGTGCTCTCTCCCCCTTTTAAAAAGATTTATTTATTATTATATATACAGTGTTCTGCCTGCATGTGATCTCATTATAGATGTTGTGAGCCACCATGTGGTTGCTGGGAACTGAACTCAGGACCTCTGGAAGGGCAGCCACTGCTCTTAACCTCTGAGCCATCGCTCCAGCCCCAGTACTCCCTACTTAAAGAAGGGCCCTCCACTCCAGACTCGCTCACTACTGAAACAAGAGCCAACCAGGGCCTAAGCAGGTCACCCACCCTGACAGTAAAGTACCACTTGAGGAAACTTAAGAGGCTGAGGCCATGCCTGCTCTAGAGCATCTTTATTCTGGCTGGGATGTGAATAGAGGTCATAATGATCAGATGCATCAAAGCACTTCAGCCTGCTTCAACAGGGAGGGTGCGCACACGGTGGGTGGCTGGCTATTCTCCACTAGCTTCTCCCGAAAGCCTCGTAGTCCAAGCCCACTGGAGTGGTGTGCCCTGGGCGGGGAGGGGCAGGACATGCAGTGCATACGGCAAGGAGGGACAGGAAGGACCGGTCAGTGGGGCTATGGCCGAACTTAGATCTTGGCGTCCCGCTGCTGCTTGATGAAGCCGATCAGTCCGTTCGTGGAGGAATCGTGGGATGTCACGGCAGAGCTGCCCTCCAGCTCGGGCTCAATTTTCTTGGCCAGCTGCTTCCCCAGCTCCACTCTGCCAGGGAGAGGTGGGAGAGGAGGATGAGCCCAGTTCCAGAGCCAGCCCACAGCCACAACAGACCCGGCCTCAGCGACTCACCCCCACTGGTCGAAGCTGTTGATGTCCCAGATGATGCCCTGAACGAAGATCTTGTGCTCGTACATGGCTGCAGAGGACGACACCCATCAGCACCCTGTCGTTCTCTGCCCCATCCAACTGCTCCCGCGCCACCCAGTCCCGCCCTGCCCCCACTCACCAATCAAGGCTCCCAGAATGAATGGTGTGAGCTTGGTGAACACGATTGAGTTGGACGGGCGATTTCCTTCAAAGACCTGCAGGGAACAAGAACCGCCTTCAGTGATGCGCAGAGACTTAGGGGTGCTCAGCCCTACAAGGGCAGGGGTCTCTCCAGAAGAGCTGGGAAGATTCTAAGAGCCGAGGTGGTGGATGAGTTCGAGAAAGCAGTGTCTTTCAGACACAACAGGGCCGGTTGTGTCTGAAACACACACACACACACACACACACACACACACACACACACACACACACCCAAACCAGACAGAAATCCCATCACAGAGAAGTAGACATAACGCTCCACCTCTAACCAAGAAGCTATCTACAAATAAGGCCAGCCTGGTCTACAAAGGTAATCCAGGACAGCCAGGGCTACAGAAACCCTATCTTAGAAAAAGAGAGAAAGGAAAAAAAAAACTTGCAGCAGGAGCAAGTCCCCAGGTTAATTCTGGTCCGCCAGCTTTTAAAGATGAGGAGCAGTCTGACATTTAAGTCTGAGGCTCAGACCCTCCCCCTGTGTAGGACAACCAAGTCATACCAGGAGCCCCTACCCTGACCCCTCGATGTCATCCCTCCTGCACGTCACCCTCAAGCTGAACTTCACAAGCAAGGCTGACCTTGTGTGGCAAGAGCTTCTCCAAGTCCTCTGCGCTCTTTCCAGCAGCCTGGAGCTCCTTCCTTGCTTCTTCCGGCCCCTTTCCCTTCATCAGGGCCTCGGTCTGGGCCAAGAAGTTGGCCAGGAGGATCTGACGAGAGAGGCACACAGTCAGGGTAGCAAGCACTGCCAGGGCCTGCTACTTCTCCAGCCAGGTTAGTCCCAGCATGGTCCATTCACTGCACAGCTCAGCAGGAGGGCGGGGGGAGGTGGTGGTGGTGGCGCATCTGATGACGGGGTAGGCGACAGCACTACCTTTCATTTTTCTTTCAAGGGAGGTGTTACTTAGGGATGGAACCCAAGTGCCCTCCTGCCGAACTTCAACCCTCTTCCTTCTTAAAACTTGACACAGGTTTTTGCTCAGTTACCCAGGCTGCCCTAAACTAGCAGATCCTCCTGTCTCAGACCCTGAGGAGGCTGGGATCGCCGATGTGTGCTTCCTCGCCAAACTTCCTGACAGAATCTCCAGTCCTTGCCAAGGGGTCCTGCTGCCGACTGTCTTGTAGAACTTTACGAATCAGGTCAACAGTGCTGTGCCACAAAAGTACAGCCTGGGCTGTGGGGGCACAGCCTGGAACCCCTACACTAAGAGGCTGAGGCAAGAGGCCAGCCTGAGTCGCATGGTGCGAACCCTGTTGAAAAACCAAAGACAAAAAGATGCCCAGGTGCCAGTAAGGAAGCAGAATGTCGGCCCTCACAAGGAAGTAGATTCCGTCAGAAACCCGAATGAACAAGTATTTTCCCAAAAGTCTGGCTACATCCTAGGCCTTAACTGTCAGCTTGACATAGGCTCAAGTCATCTGAGATGCGAGTTTCAATGGAAACCGCCTAGTTCAGACTGGCCTGTGGAGGAGGGCCCAGCCCACCGTGGGCAGCATTCCTAGGTAGGTGGCCCTGGACTAGAAAACTAAGAGAACTAGCTAAGCATGAGCCTTGGGCTTGAGCCAGCGAACAGCCTTCATCCATGGCCTCCACCCAGTCATGGACTGTGTCTTGGTAAACTGAAGTAAACCCTTTCCTACCCCAGCGTCGCTCCTCCATGGAGTCTTTCCTCACAGTAGCAGAGATGGAACTAAAACAGACTAACCCCTTGAGTTTCGCCCATGCCTTTTATGAGGTAGGAACCTGGCTGGGGTTCCAACGTGGGGAACTGGGAGAACAGACTGTTTGAAGGCAGTAAATGGGTGGTCCCCTGCTGGGGCCCTGAGAGAAACCTAACCTCTGAGCGGAGCAGCTGCGGGAGCCCCAGAACATCCAGACAGGCCTCTTACCTTGTGGTGCAGGCCGTTCCGGATAGGGTGCTGGGTCTGCACGGGGATGAGGAAATCACAGGGGATCATCTTGGTGCCTGTTAAGAGCAAAGGCACAGTGCTCATCCATACGGCCCCAGCCCGTGGGGGCTACCCAGGCAGCCTTCAGGAAGGCACTGTCCTAAGTGGGGAGGTTCCTGCTGGCCCATCCACATCCCACCAGGCACCATGGCCACTCGCCCAGGACAGACGGGCCCTACCTTGGTGGATAAGCTGGTAGAATGCATGTTGGCCGTTGGTCCCTGGCTCCCCCCACACGATGGGGCCTGTCTGGTGGTCCACCCGGGCACCGGACTTGGTGATGTACTTTCCATTGGACTCCATGTCGCCCTGGAACGAGGTCAGAAACTCAGTCCTCTCCCTACAAGATCTGCCTTTTGCAAACTGCCTGGATCCTTCCTGGGGTGCCCCATCTTCACGTGGGGAGCCCTGTAAGTGTCGGTCCTTGGGCTCCCGAGCTTTCTGGCTTAAGGCTACCATGCCATAAGGCCCATGAGCAGGGAAAGACAGATCAGGAGGCAGGAAGGAGATCTCTTTAAAAACAATTTATTCTTCCTGTAGGAGGCCTGAGGTGACCCAGGAAGACAGTCCACTGCTCTCTTGACCCAGAAAACCTATCAAAATCATGCAAATTAAGAGGTCAAACCTCATTCACTTTAGCCAGGTGCAGTGATGCACGCCTGTAATCCCAGCACTCATGGACGCATAGGCAGGCGGATCTCTGTGAGTTCGAGGCCAGCCTGGTCTACAAAGCAGGACAGCCAAGGCTACACAGAGAAGCCCTATCTCGAAAAACAAAAACCAACCAACCAACCAAAAACCCAAAAACACCTTGTTCACTTTAAGAACAACCCTGAAGCTGCCTGGGAGCTCAACAGTTAGAGTGCTGCCAGATCTTCCGGAAGACCCAATTCCAATTCCCAGCAGCCACATCAGGTAGGTCACAACCGCCGGTAACACCAGTTCCAAGAGATCCCATCAACCTCTCCTGGCCTCTGTGGGCACCTTTGCACACTGGTGGCATTCACTCACACAGATACACACAAACACACATCAAAAAAAAAGGGGAGAGGAGACTGTGAGTGGGTAGGTGTGCCCAGTGCAAGCGACAGGGCTGGACAAAGGGTCAGGGGCCCCAAAGTGTGCTGTGGTTACAAATGCAGAAAGGTTTGGCTGTGAATCCTCTCGCCACTGAACGAAGCACCCGAGACGGACTACAGTCTGCAGGTCCCGGGGTCCCAGCTCACCCCGTCACCCAGAACAGCAAAAGAAGGTGACAGCCAAAGAGGAAGACAAGTGCCCACAACCGACACAGGACAACTGGCTGGGGCACCTCTCCCAGTGGTGAGATTCAGCTGACAACATGGATGGAACAGTCTCGGTCACCACGATGTGCTGGGAACCCAGCAGCAGAGGGGAGCCGCGGCCATCCCAGAGGGCAAGGGGAGGCACCGGGCACCTGCCACTAGACCCTCCCAAGCACGGTCCGGCCTTCGGTACCTGCTGGAAATAGGCAGCAAAACGGTGCATGTACTGGTCATAGGGCAGCATGGCGTGGGTCTCACAGCCGTAGAGGTTGATGTACCAGATCCCCAGCAGAGCCAGCAGGACGGGGGCGTTCTTCTCCAGGGGTGTCTTCTGGAAGTGCTGGTCCTGCAAGAACACAGGAGGTGAGAGCTGAACAGCTGGCAGGGAGAGACGTGGGGAGAGGAAGGAGGGTCAGGATGCATGTGTCTCGGCCCTCCCGACACTCACCATCCAGTGAGCCCCAGACAGCAGCTGCTCGAAGTGGTCAAAACCTGTTGACACAAAAATCGACGTCAAAAGAAAAGGCCGCCCCTGCGTTCTCTTGGCAGCTGGTTCCAGTCCCTTCTGGAACCAGGAGGAAGTTGGGACCTGGGAGAAGGAGGGGCCTGAAGAAAGCCTCTCTCTTCAGAGCTGGCCCTGAGCATGAAATCACCCCATGGCTATCTCTCCCAGTACTGAAAGATACATATGTCTAGGCATAAGCAGAGAGGACAGAAGCCTGTGATAAGCAAGGCACTCACGCATACAGCGTCACCCTCACACTGCAATACTGCCCCCTGCAGGCGGCTGAGAAACACTCACCTATGTGCAGAGCGATGGACAGTCCAATGGCTGACCACAAGGAGTAGCGGCCACCTACCCACTAGAAGAGAAGGAAAAGGCGCTGAAGGAAGGCAGGCACACCCTACCCTCCCTCCTGCCACACCTCTCCCTAGAAAGCCACCGTTCCACAGGTATAGTTTGGAGGGCTTGACCCAACCCAGCTCAACCCAACTCTGGTCACCGGGTAAGGCCCTGATGACTCTCTCCATGGTGGCAGCAAGGCAGACTCACACGGTACCGATCAAAGCCAAATTAACATGTTACCATGGTTGGCCTTTTCTTCCTGGCAGTCTGTCTCCTCAGGACTGGCAGACAGCCTACGCCTGTGTCACCGTTTGCCTTCTTGGTGCTGACAGAGCCAGGACCTCATACCTGTGCCAGTCCCTACCTCAGCGCTGACAGAAAAGGGCTTCCAATCTGTGCTAAACCTGCTTCCTCAGATGCGGACACTCACAGACCCTCAGACCTGTTCACAATCCCATCTGCTCAGATGCTGGCAGATCACGCCTTCATACCTGTGCACAAGTACCTCAGAAGCCACTCAGAGCCTCATACCCGTGCCTACCTTTACTACCTCAGACACTGATGGACTTGGTGCCTCCCACTTCTGCCAAATGTCTCGTGTCCTCAGACACTGGCAGACCAAGTGCTCACACCTCTGCTGAACCTGCCTGTGGAAAGACTGAGACACCCAGAACCTGTCTCCTCAGCCACTGACAGACCCCAAACCTCATACCCGTGCTTACCCTGTCTCCTCAGACAATGACACACCCCAAACCTCATACCTGTGCCCACCCTGTCTCCTCAGCCACTGACAGACCAGAGCCTCATACCTGTGCCCACCCTGTCTCCTCCGCCACTGACAGACCAGAGCCTCCTCGTACCCGTGCTCACCCTGTCTCCTCAGCCACTGACAGACCAGATCCTCATACCTGTGCCCACCCTGTCTCCTCCGCCACTGACAGGCCACAGCCTTGTACCTGTGCCTACCCTGTCTCCTTATCAAGGACTAACCCACAGCTATATCTAGCCTGTCTCTTTGGTCACTAACGAACCTAAAACCTCACAACTGTACTTACCATCTCCTCAGACACTGACAGACAGAACTCCATACCTCTACCTACCCTGTCTTCTCATGTACTGACAGATCCGGAACCTCAGGCCTGTACCTACCATGTCTTCTTGGTCACTGACACACCCAGAGCCTTGAGTCTGTGGCCACTCTGCCTCCTTGGTCCAAATTAGGCAGAGACTAACCTACCATATCACCTCACACACTGACAGCCTCCGAGCCTCAGACCTGCACCCATTCTGTCCCCTCAGTCACTGACAGATCATTAGCTTTGGACCTGTGCTTACCTTGCCCACCCGAGACGCAGAGAGGCCCACAGCTTCCTGCCTCTGTCTACACTGCCTCTCCAGACATGGAAAGACCCAGGGTGTGTGGTGCTGAGACCGATCATAAACAGTCTGGATCTGAGGGATTGGCACCTGTCACCTGGAAGCACTCTGGAGCGGCAGACACTAGAGTCCTGAGGCAGGAGCAGCCTCTTCTTACAACAAACCCAAAACACATAGGCAATGACGGGGAGCAACTTCCTTTCCAGTCTCTCAGGCTGACACAGGACGCGAACCCCACTAGCTGCCAAGGAGAGGTGCTAGACCACATATCCGCTAGAGGTCCTGTGGTGTGTGGATGTGTCTTCCGGAGGCCTGAGGAGACGGCCCCGGAAAAGCCCGGTGCAAGTACGGAGAGTGAAGGAGGGGGGCAGAGGGCCCAAGGTCTGAGAGCCAGGCACAAAGGAAGACAGAAAACCCAAGCACCCTGAGGCTGTCCTGAGATGAGGACAGCCTGGGCGTGGGGAGCTGAAGAGAGCGAACACAGGAAGTTTACACAGGCGAAACTCAAAGAATGAGAAATGTGGCCCAAATCCCTCTGGCTAAGACAGCAATGAACTGTGGATCCATCTGGAAGGACCCAGGTTTTAGGAAGAGCTTTGCTACAGAGACCATGTCACAGAGACCATGTTGGGGTGACGTGGGCTCTCAGATCTTGCCTAAAGGACTCAAGTTTTTGAACTGAAATTAGGTGGTCAGCGGCCCTCAGGCTGACAAGTCTCGACCCAAGGCTCTAAACCTCAAATCGTACCATTTGTATCCCTGGGGCAATTCAGACCATAGACCCATGAGGAGACGGGCTACAGGCCCCAGCTCCCCGCAACAGCCCCTGACTGAGGACAGGTAGCGGGACTGGCTCAGGCTCTTGGGTGCTAAGATCTGAAGTATGTGCCTTGATGATTGGCTCATATGAAAATTGTTAATTTCACTCTGATTATATGTTCGAGTGTCTATATATGCACACTCATGCACACTCGCGTGCATCGTCAGCTGTCTTAACCTGTTGAGCCATCCTACCAGCCCCACAGTGGTTCTCTTACACAACTCTGTCTGACCAAACCCCTCAGGTCTGGCCAGCCATTATGTCTCCCAGGGCTAGCCCCTGCCCCACACATTTCACCTAACAAGCCTGGGGTACTTTTGTGCCCGAAGCCAGGTGGCTCGGCCACCTCTTCCTGGACCCACAGACTGACTGGCGAGGCTGGGTAAATTACCCCACCGTCACCTGCAGGCCTGGCTCTACCTCCCTGCACCCAGCTACAGTGGACACAGCCTGCGGGCTGCCCCACCTCGACCATCCACCTGAGTCGATGGCCGCAGGCCCATCTCTGTAAGAGTGACCTGGGACCTTTGTGGGGACAGAGCTCTAGGCACTTGGCTCTGACTCCAGTGGTCTCCAAACGAGACTGCACCACTTCTCACATCTCACACACGAATCCAGCACCAACAGGGCTTAGCCGCAGCACTGGCAATTTCATCCGCTAAGAGCATCTGTGCCTCAGAGACACACCCAAGGGGACCTGTCTACTTACTCAGCCACCCCTGGACCTTACCTCAAAATACAGGCTGTCACACCCCAGCCAGAACTAAGCTCCTCGGACTGCCCTGAATGGCCCCGGGTGTCCCTGCCTCTAGCTCAAACTCCTTGCTTAGAGGACTGTATCTATACACGTACACTTACATTAGGGTTTGCAGACAGCCTGTATGGCCTACAGGACTTGCCCACCTTTATGGGCCGGTGCAATGTGTCTGACTTAAGCAGTCACTCCAATCCATGAGCTTAGCCATGGCTCCTTGGGCTTCTCCACACAGGCCCAGGTATACCCTACCTTTGCCCAAATCCTCTCTGAACAGGTCAGCCCTACCTGAGTTCAACCTGAACTCAAGACCACATCTGGCAGACCTCTCTTGATCTCCCCTCCCAGGCCTGTTCGGTCGCCCTGTGTTTGACCTCAGCTCCTCAGTCCACATCTGGAAGACCAGGTCTACTCACCTGGGCCGGGCCCTTGAGTCCTCAGACCACACAACACCTGGCCAGCGCCACCTTCCAGTATTTGAGCCTGCCTCTCCAGGGCATTTCTGGCAGAGAGGTCATCTCTGCCTGAGCGTGGCTCCTGGCTTCTCAAACCCCCTGGATGGCCTCTACTCCCTGAGCCTTAGCCACGCTTCTTCAGGCTTTGCCACCACCAAGAACCAGGAGAGACGCCTCCCTTTGACTGAATCCAGCACCTACCCGTGTTCACCTCCTCAGGCCTCGGTGGTCTGCACCTGGCAGATCAACTACGGGCCTCTGACCATGGCCCTCCAGAACACAACCGCTCAGCCTACCACCTCCAAGCATTCACCCCCAATCCTCCCAGTTCAAAACTGTATCTTACAGGCCGAGTGTGGTTACACCCTTAATCCCAGCATTTGGGAGGCAGAGGCCGGTGGATCTCTGAGTTCTTAGGCCAGCCTGGTCTACTGAGAGAGTTCCAGGCCAGCCAGGGCTGCACAGTGAGTTCTCGGAGACCAGCTCTGCCTATTGGTACAGTATGCACCCTGGCTCCTCTGACGGTCCTGGATGAGGCGTGACTACCTAGCAGGATGTTGCCTATGGCTTGTCAGACCCTACCTGGAAGGCCAAAAAAAAAAAAAAAAAAAAAAAAAAAAAAAAACCAGCTCAGCTTGTTGGACTGCACACAGACTGGCTAGTGCTACTTACCTGCCTACGACTCCGAGCTTTCAGACCATGCCTGACTGGCTGGTTCTACCTACCTGAGCCCTTACTCTCCATCCACCGCTGACAGGCCAGCTGCCTGACCCAATGCACTTTCTTCCCCAGCTTTGACTATGACTTCTCATGCCTCACTTACATCCCCTTAGTTCTCCACTCATCTGCATGTTCCATCTACCTTGTCTCACTTCCTCTCCCCGACGGCATCTCAGGCAATGATTTGGCTCTGAGGCCTCACCCGACCGTTGGCTCTGCTTACTTGGCTCCACCTGACTGACCCGAAAAAGGATTTACCGGCTGCGGTGTCTCACACCAGCCGACCTCTGCTGCTTCCACAGACTAAGCGACCCGACAACCCCCCTCTGTGCTTAGCCAAGTCCTGCAGAGGTGGGATTTGGCAGCCCCTTCGGTCCCTTACCTGAGAGAACAAGAAGTACAAGTCTATCTCTTAGCCACCTCTTCTGCCAGCCCTACTGCACACACCTGGCTTCAATGCCTTCTGGATGGACCACCGCTCTCCATCCCTCACACCTGCCAGATCTACAGTCTTGTTCTCAGGGACCCCAAAGTACCTACCTGTGCACCACCAGAACTGGGCACACGTGGCCTAACCACGCTGTTCTGACACTTGGTTCCACTTGCCCATGCCCTCCGCCCATTCTCTGTGATGCTGAGGCCTGAACCCAGGGCCTAGACCCTGCCAAGGAGCTCTGTCTCCTACCCCGGAACCTTTAGTTTGCAGTGTGCACACTGGACAGTTCTACTTACACAGGCCTAGCCCAGCTCCTCTGGTTCCAGTGGGAAACCCAGTCACTTTTGTCCCAGTCCAGCTCCTGAGACCTCAGCCATGACACCACATCTTAGCACACACCCGAGATGAGATGCTTCTTGCTGATCTCACAGTTTCCTGCTGCCGGGAGTCTGCCTGAAGACTTAGCTGTCATAGTCTCCCTGAAGACCATGGTCTCCCAAGCTTTATCTTTCATGAGCCTCTCAGACTGCACCCTAATGACAGAGGTCCCCCCAAGGGTCCCCCGCCTGTGTGTGACCTGTCCACATGCCTCAACTTTTATAATCTCTCTCCTCCCGGCCTCCTCACAACCCCACCCCAAACACGCCCGCTGACACAGAGCAGCCGGTGACACATCGGAAGAGCCAGCCAAAATGCTGAGACCTGGGCTCACCCCACGTGGGCAATCTCTTCTCAGAAGCCAGCAGACACCCTAATATGTACACATCTGGGACCACCCAGCCGTCTTCACCCGGCCTCTTCCAAGAACTTGCCAAGTACTTCCATGTGACCTTCAGACCTCAATTATTAGAACTATTCCTTTTTGGTTGTTTAAAAACAAGATCTCAGCCGGGCGCAAGCCTATAATCCCAGCACTCTGGGAGGCAGAGGCAGGCCCCGTCTATGAAGGGAGTCCAAGAAAGCCAAGGCTATACAGAGAAACCCTTTCTTTAAAAATCATCATCATCATCTTACTACATAGCTCAGGCTAGCCCAGAACTCATTATCTAGCTGAGGCTGGCCTTGAACTTGTGATCTTCCTATCCCACCCTTCTGAGATTACAGAGATGTGACACCATACCTAGCTGATGTCACAGATGCATTTGTACTTTTCTTTGTACCTGTACCTGTCCTCACTCCTTGTCAGACCTGGTTCTAGCTCCTCTGATCTCCGCCATGACAGCACACAGGCCTTGCAGACTCCGCCTACACTCGAGAGAGAGGTGACCTGCAACACCAATCTCGGATGGGCAATTTGGTTCTCTGATGTTGGACTCAAGCTGGGCTCCGAGACTCTTCAGCTCAGCAGCGCGCCTCTGCTGGGCCCAGATGCCAGACACAGCAGGCAACGCCACGTCAGAGGCAGCAGGCCGAGCCTCACCACTCACGCACACTGCGCTGGATCCGCCTCGACGGCCCACCTTGCAGGCAGTGCGGCACAGAGGTCGCGTTCCCTCGCCTCAGAGACTAACTCAGAATCTTCACCATCTCGGCTCCCGGGCTCCTCAGACACCATCACCTCCACTCAGCATCAGCCAACCACAACCCTTCTCGTGCTGCCGTGGTGTGTGTGGCCTGACCCACGAGGTCCTGTTCCCTGCGCCTAAACATCACCTACAACACCTGGCCTGCAACACTCGAATTTCTCTGTCACATTCCATCAGTTACAATGAACGCCCCACTCTTCGGGGCTCTGTAGCTGGCTAGCAGGGGCAGCCTGCTCCATTTGCTCCCCGACCCCCATCTGCTCAGGCGCCAACACCTAGGGAGGAAGGAAGAAGGGCCCTCCTCCTGTCAGGCTGGCAACATGTCTTAGAAGATGCAGTTTGCCAACAGGGGGCGTCACCTGGCACAGGAGGTGTGCCAAGGATGGTAGCGGATGGAGTTAACTCAGACACAGTGGATGGCTCGGGACAGTGCAGCATCATTCTGTCCTACAGACTGACAGAAAAAAGCTTTAGGCCAAGTATGATGGTGACCTGCAAGGCCAAGGCAAGAGGATCTCAAGTTCAAGAACAGCCTGAGCCACATTGTGAGCTGTAGGTTAGCCTGGGCTACACAGAGACCCTATCTCAGAAATCCTTTAAAAGGGGCGGGGAGCTCAGTGGTAGGGTGCTTGCTGAGTGTATGCAGATCCTAGGCACTGAAGAACAGGGTTTGTTTTTAGAGTTTTCAAAAAATGGTTACCATTAGCCAACGATGCTATCAGGAAAAGAACTTCCACGGCAACAGGGTGGGAAAATGGCCCGCAGGGCAACACATTCTCAGATGTACCCAGGACGTGTTGGAGAAGGAACCTCGCCCCATCACAGCCACTACCCTCACAAAGCACACACGGTGGCCTCACGGCGGCCCTGCCCACGCCAAGCCTTCACAGCCCTCCCTCACACCGCCACTGTGCTCAGGCCAGCAGCAAAGGCCGCTCCTAGTCCAGCCTGGCTCCAGGTGAGTTCACAGGCCCGTCAGCCCTACACGGTGACCTACATGCAGGCCTACCATTTGAAGTGGGGTATGCTGTGCAGGCTGCCCTGCCCCCCTCCAGCTGTTCCCGAAGTCCCCTGTGGGTCTCTTCCCAGCACACCAGGTCCGGGACCCGCCTTACCCTGCCCTCTGGCCTTTATAGACTGTGGCCAAAGCCTGGAGAAAGGTCATGCCTGAGAATAACTCACCTCGGCTCCTCCGGAGGGCAGGGGCGGCTCTGGTTACCTCAGTGGGTGCTGCTGGAAGGCACCCAGGGGACTATCGCTTCTCCACGTAAACCGGGGACTCTCCCCACAGACTGAGCCGCCCTAAAGGCCTCTCTGCCTTTCCCACAGCCAGACATGCAGCAAGTGCTCAATAAATGCTGACCTGACCTCAGAGGCCCCTCCTGCTGGCTCAGCGGCCATGACTCGGCCAAGGACACACCAAGCACACAGCGCGCCAAGCCCCTGTACTTACATCCCAGAACTCGAACATGTTTTGAGGGTCAATCCCAAACTCTTTCACCTTGGCCTGGAAAATACAAAGGGGGAGAGAGGGAGAGAGAGAGAGAGAGAGAGAGAGAGAGAGAGAGATAGAGATAGAGATGAGGGAATGTCTGTAAGAGAGACACGAGCAGGCGCTGTGGGTGAGGAATGGTGCCAGACCCTCACCTTCCTTCCAACCCCAGCAGAGCAGGCTGGGAGAGGGACCACCATGAGCGCTCACTCAGAACTGGACACCAAGCTGGCTCACTTCCACACAGCAGGGGCCCCTGCGCCTACAGAACCTCCTCTTGGGGTGTGAGAGCCAGGCCCCATACCAAACCCAGAGACCATTCCCCAGGCCAGGCCACGAAGCCTGGAGCACTACCCAACCTTCTTCTTTTGAAGGTGGCCCTCTGAGAGACCCCTAAGGAGACATCCCTTTTCAGGGATCCAGGCCGTCCATCAGGCAAATCCACGTGGCCTATCCCTATCCTCTGTGGACATGTGCGCTGACCGTCTGAGCTCTGCCGGCCGCCGGCAAGCAGCAAGGAGGGAGGCAGCGGGTGGTCAGAAGAGCCTAGGTGTGCTTCGCGGTTCCCAGCTCTGCCACTGGTGTGCCCAGCACCACGCCACATGGCAGGGCTCAAGTTCACAGCTGCTGGGCTTTCTAAAGTAGATCTCACTCTGGCTGGCTGAGCCATGTGGAGCATGCCCCACCTCAGAGAGGCTCAAGGCCGGGCCATCTGTGAGCTAGCAGGCACATTCTGGGCTCCCCTTCTTGTCACCTCACACAGAGGTGACAAGAGGCCACATCTGGGGTGCTGCAGTTAAGAACACACACAGTCTGTGTCAGACCCAAGTCTGGCTCCTAGCACAGACATCAGGCAGCTCATAACCAACTGCAAACTCCAGTTGCAGACAATCCAAAATCCTCTTCTGGGCCCCGAGGGCTCATGCATGCACATACCCCTCCCCCAGCACAATTAAAAAGAAAATAAACCATTAAAAAAAAAAGTCACACCAGGCAATGCAGCAAAGGCCTTAATCCCAGCACTCAGGAGGCAGAGGCAGGTGGATCTCAGTGGGTCTGGGGGCCATCCAGGAGAGCCTCAGCTAGTCAGTCCCTGTCAAAAGGTTCACATTCAGGGATAGCAAGATGGCTCACGGTAAAGGCACGTGCTGTGTAAGCCTAGAGACCACCCAAGAACCCACATAAAGGGGGCAGTGGAGAACCACTCCACAAGGCTGTCCTCTGACCTCCACTGTGTGTGGCCACACAGACCTAGCATGGGTGCACACAGCTGCAAAATAATAATTTATTAACTAAAAAACAAAAGTTACATTCAGAACTGGAAAGGTGACTCAATGGTCAAAAGTCCCTACTCTGGCAGGAGACCCAGGTTCAGTTCCCAGTAGGGTGATTGATTTACATCATCTCCTTCCATTTCCGGAAAAGCCAATGCCTTCCTCCTCCGTGGGCACCTGGCAGGCATGCAGTGCACAAACATGTAAAACACGCACATAAAAGAAAATACATAGATTAAAAAAAAAAAAAAAAAGCTGAGCAGTGGTGGCGCACGCCTTTAGTCCCAGCCCTCAGGAGACAGAGGCAGGTGGATTTCTGTGAACCTGAGGTCAAGGCTAAACAGAGAAACTGTCCCAACAAAAACAAAAGGCACATTCGTTTACCAGGCCTAACAACTTTAGGAAGAGCAAGATCCAGCCTGCACATCGTGTGGGAGACGTGTGGATGGTGCCAGCAGCCTGGCCTGGCGATGGGTAGGACACCACGATCACTGGGGACAGCACGGAAGGCCGCCGGCTCTCAGTGAGCCGCTATCCAGCAGCCGTGACGCTGGCCCGAGTCAGGGAGCTGAGCCTGGTGGACTCGGGAGGCCTGTGTTTTCTCGAGGCCTGGGCTATCCCACGAGGGCTTGCAGGACGCCACGTGCAGGGCACCACGACACTTACCGTGTTCGTAGACAGGGCGACGAAGTGCTTTGCAACTGCAGATGGCTACAAGAGACAGAAGCAGATTATTCCAATCCTATCCCAGAGCGGGGAGGCCCCATCGCTGGAGAAAACCACATTCTACACAGAGCTCACTATTCCCTCTCTCTCTTTGGCCCCGAGGCTGTTAAAGAAGCCCACAGAAGGTCAAGGTCAAGACAGGCAGGTAGACATGGCACATGACTAACCCTAATGCTCAGGAGACTGAAGCAGGAGGACTGCCATGGGCTCAAGACCAGCCTGGACTCCATTAGCGAGACCGTGTCACAAATCAAAAAAAATAAACAAAACAAACAACAAAAAACCAACACCAACAAAAAAGCTGTGTAAGGGCCACAAGCCAGGCTGCCCATCCCCCGCTCAAAGGCACACTAACCAGGAGTAAAATGGTCCCCCAGTGTAAAACGGGTGTGGTCCCTGGGAGCAGAGTTGACCCAAAGAGAAAGAGACTTGAAGAAAGGATCCTCAGTCAATTTATTAAAAATAAATGAATAGGGGCTGGAGAGATGGCTCAAGAGGTTAAGACCACTGGCTGTTCTTCCAAAGGTCCTGAGTTCAATTCCCAGCAATCACATAGTGCCTCACAACCACCTGTAATGAGATCTGGTGCCCTCTTCTGGCCTGCAGGCACACATTCAGGCTGAATATTGTATAAATAATAAACACATAAATCTTAAGAAAAGAAAAAAAAATGAATGAATGGAAGAAAGGGCTCTTAGCCAGTTAGAGCAGGTCCCGGTCCCGCTTAAGCCCGGGGCCAGAAAGCCAAGGCTATAAAGGGAGGAACCAGAAAGGCCTCCTCCTGCTTCCACCTTTAGCAGACAGGGCTTTACTGAGAGAGGAAGGGAGGGAGAAAAGAGCAGCACAGGACACGCACCCCCCCAACCTCACCCATGGGAAAACTCAGACACCCCCACCCCCCCCCCCCCCCCCAGCCAGGAGAGCCAGCAGCCACTCACATCCTTGGCTGACTGGAGAAACCACTCCTTTGCGGTCTCCGCATTGGTGATGGTTTCCTGGGTGGTGAAGGTCTGCAACAGAACGCAAGGCCCACTTCAGGGTTGGCTGCAGAGGCCGCCCTGGTGAGCGAGGGGGAGGGAGGGGACGACGGACACATTCAGCAACACTCCCCACAGGCTGACATGAACATACGTGCCGCGGCAGCGCGGGCAGCGCCAGGCTATCAGCCTAGCAGTCACAGCCAGGGGTGGAAGAACCCCACTCAAACGCCAACCCAAATGGGCAGCCAGAGGCCGGGGACCTCCCAGACTGAGCACACTCTGGGCTCAGGTCACCAGGTCACCCTAGGCTGAATCTCACAATTCAGATGGAATTATATTTTTCAGTTTTATTACGTTTATTTCACGTGTGTGTGTGTGTGTGTGTGTGTGTGTGTGTGTGTGTGTGTGTGTAGGCATAACGGTGCCATGCACAAGTGGCAGACATTAAGACAGCTTTTGGGGAATAATTCTGTCCTACCATAAGGGTCCCAGAGTCAAACTCAGGTCACCTGGCTTGGTGGCAGGACCCTTTACCTGCCGAACCATCCCACCGACCCTCAACAATAATAAACCCTTCCATTATCAGGCCAGGGCCTAGAAATCAGAAAGGCACAAGGTGCCAGGTGTGGGGGCACCCACCTGCATTCCCAGTGCTCAGGAGACTACACTCAGCTATAAAAGAACTCTGTCTCAAAACCCTGAAAAGGGAGGGATAAGAGGAAAGCAGGGAGGGAAAGAGAAGGGAACAGACTGATCTCTTAGGAAGGAAATACCACTCAGCACTTAGGAGGCAGAGGCAGGCAGATCTCCGAGGTCGAAGGCAGCCTGGCCTACAGACAGAGTTCCAGGACAGCCAGGGCTACACAGAGAAACCCTGTCACAACCAAAAAAGAAGAAAGAGTATCACAGACATGTTAGTGACAGGGACCTGTCTGTAATCTACTTGAGCAGCTGAGGCAGGAGGATCAAAAGTTCAAGGTGTGCCTGACAACAGTGTGAAGTTAAGGCTTGCTGAGTAACTCAGAGAGGGCCTGTCTCAATATAATCGGCTGTTATGTTGTGGTTCAGTGATAGGGGGCCTGGCTCACACGTGTGAAACCCCGAGTTCAGTCAGCAGTTACACACACACAGAAGAAAAGATCACATGAGCAAATGGCTGTGGCTAATGACAAGGGTCCAAATGGAACAGCCTCAGGCTTTTATTAGGTAAACCTCATTTGCTGCCACGGGAACGAAGGCAGCTGTGTTATGCACTCAGAATCCATCCTGAGACTCAAGTGTCCAGGGCAATGCACCCGACCTCCCCACCCCTGTCCCTACCTTGGAGGCGATTATAAACAGGGTAGACTGGGGGGTCAGGCTGGCCAGTGTTTTGGCAATGTGGGTTCCATCGATGTTGGACACAAACCAGACTCGAGGACCTCCTGTGGAGTACGGCTTGAGAGCTTCTGTCACCATGAGGGGTCCCTGCCGGGACAGAGGGCAAGGTTCCAGCAAGCGCCTGCCCCCACCCATCACCCATCACCCCATCCCAGGGCAAGCCAGGCGCTCACCAGGTCAGAGCCTCCGATGCCAATGTTGACAACGTCCGTGATGGACTGGCCAGTGTACCCCTTCCACTCGCCACTCCGGACCCGCTGGCAAAGACAGAAAAATGTGTTAACCCAAAGGCACAGCTCAGAAATGTCACTTAGGTAGGTGACAACTAACCGGGCCCTCTCAGGGTCTCTGGAGGTCACAGGACCAGATCCCTGTCACATTCTGTGACACACGCTATCCTGGTACAACCTCGGCACACTGTTTAAACAGACTCTGGGAGCACACGGGGCTTCCTTGTCCTAGACTCCCGAAGGTTTATTTCTAGGGACCCTCTGTCCCGAGGCAGGCTGGCCTCCAAACTCTGAGACAGAAAGAAGAGGCCACTTGTTTACCTCATGGCATAAAAATGCCTGCACAGGGCTGGAGAGATGGCTCGAGGGTTAAGAGCATGGGCTGCTCTTCCAGAGGACCGTGGTTCTGGTCCCAGCACCCAGAGCAGCTTACAACACGCATGACTCAGGTTCCAGGAGACCTGATGACCTCTTCTGACCTCCAGAGGCAACAGGCATGCGTTCGGTGCACATAAATACACACAGGAACTCTCTCTCTCTCTCTCTCTCTCTCTCTCTCTCTCTCTCTCTCACACACACACACACACAGAAAGCAGAAGTGCCCCGAAGTCTCTCACTAGCAACCCTCGGCAGCCACTTCTGCGGGCCCCCGAGCATTTCTGCTGGGTGTCAAGCAGCTGCTTTGACAGTGTTATTTCGCTTGCTCAACCAGCTGGGCTAAGCAGTTGTTCTGCGGGAGGTTGTGAGCACCTGATCTGATGATGTTTGTTATCTGCCTGTTACATACTTAATAAACTCGCTCAGAGACCAAAAGCACGGCTACTGTAGACCATTCTCTGCGTGAACACATTCCCTACCAAATGGCCTGTACGTACTCGTCGCCAAAGCGGGACTCGTAGTGATCTCACGTGGTTCAGCAGTTAAGAGCACTGACTGCCCTTCCAGAGGACCCGGGTTCAATTCCCAGCACCCACATGGCAGCTCACAACTGTCTATAACTCCAGGATCTGACACCCTCACACAGACAGGCACACAGGAAAAACAATAACGCACATAGATAAAAATAAATTATTATGGTAATCTCACAGTGAGGCTAGCAGGAATTCTGAAACAAGGCTGGACTCTTAGACAGAGACCAACTCTTCTGGATCATGTCCTAGGCTGCGCACACACTCGGCAAACTGAGCTGAACCCCCAGCCCACGTGGCATTGAGACGGAAGCTTACTATGAGTACAGCCCCCACGGACCGTGTACTGGCAATCCCAGCCTGTTTCAGTCTCCTGGTTGCTGGGGTGGCAACCTACGTTGCCATGTCCAGATGCTTGCAAATGATTCCCGATCCCGGTACAGCCCCCGGAGCGTTCCTACCTGGCCTTGATAGCAAGGACACTGTCATCATGGCCCTATGTGAATGGGAAAGCTCAGTCCCAACAGCCTCTGCTTTGCTCTCTGACCCCCTCCCCATTTATCCATTTATTCTATCTCATGTGCGTGAGTGTTTTCCCACATGTAGCGTCCATCTGTGTATCCCATGCATGCAGTGCCTGTGGAGGCCACAAGAGGGCAACAGATCCCCCAGAAGTGCAGTCACAGGGCCGTGCGCTGCCGCATGGGCGCTGGGAACTGAGTCAGGATTCTCGGGAAGAGCAGCCAGAGCTCTTACACACAGGAGCATCCTTCAGCTTCTGGCTTCTCTCTTTAAAGTCCATGGACCACGTGGTGAGAACACTCAGGCCCATGAGGAAGCCCATCCATGTGGAAATGAATTGAGGATTCCTTCCAACAGGCAGTACCAACCAACTTGCCATTCATGGAATCTTCCAGAACTGACACCTTCAGAGAACTGCAGGACGGGCCGACAGTGACTACCACAACAGACCCACCCAAACAAGAGCAATGTGGAGCCAGGCCTGGTGGCACACGCCATTAACCCCAGCACTCAGAGAGGCAGAGGCAGGGGGATCTCTGTGAGTTCCAGGCCAGCCTGGTCTCCAAAGTCAGTCCAGGACAGCCAGGGCTACACAGAGAAACCCTGTCCCCAAAATAAATAAATAAATAGAACTTTTGGCCAGAGACACGATGGCATAACTGTGCTCACTGCTGTGGTGAGACAAGTTCTGCTGTGATTCCCACACAATGATAAAGGACCGATGATGCAAGTCACAGGATCCGGTCCTTGTCAAAACCCGAGCAAGGGGCTAGAGATAGCTCAGCAGGTGACAGAGCTGGCCACTCTTCCAGAGGACCCAGATTCAACCTCCGGCACCCACAGGGGAGGCTCACAACCATCTAACTCCGGCCCCAGGGGATCTACCTCCCTCCTCGAGCCTCAGTGGGCACTGGATACATACACGCACACACTGCAGAGACATACACAGGCAAAACACCCGCAACACAGGAAATTAAATATCCGAAAGCTAAATGAACTGGGTGTAGTAGCTCATGCCTGGAACAGCAGCGCCTGGGAGGCTGGGCTGTCTGAGTCCACTCTGTCTCTAAACAAACCAGCAAAACAACAAACCTAACACTCTGACAGTTGGAAGGGTTAGGGAAACGCTAAAAATGATTAGACAGCCCTGAGGTTGTTGGTATGGGTTTAAAGAAAGGGCAGGACCACTATGAGAACCCTTTCCTCCTACTAGGTTGCCCTGTCTGGCTTCGACGTGACGGGACATGCCTGGTCTTACTATAGCTTGTTTTGCCATGTTTGGTTGATGTCCCTGGGAGGCCTGCTTTTTTCTGAGGGGAGGAGGGGATGGATTGGATCTGGGGAAGAGAGAAGGTTGGGAGAGAGACTGGGGAGAGGTTAGGCTGCAGTTGTAATATATGAAAAAACTTTTTTTCTTAAAAAAGGTAGGAAAATGTTGCTGGAAATTGTAGGAAAAAAGAATTTTTGTAGGCCAGGCTTAATAATGGTACATGCCTGTAATTCCAGTAATCAGGAGGCAGAGGCAGGTGGATCTCATGATTTTGAGACCAGCCTGGTCTACAGAGTGAGTTCCAGGACAGCCAGAGCTACGGAGAAAAACCACCAACCAACCAACCAAACAAACAAGTAAAAAAATAAACAAATAAACAAGTAAACAAACAGAAATTTCCCTTATCCGCAGAAAAAAAAAAAAAAAAAATCAGGGTAGAAACATAACTTGGAGCTGTGGGAAAGATCAAATACAGGAAACTCCCACAAGCAAAGTCAAAAGATGAAGCTAAGAATGGAGCTCAAACACGCTGTTGGGGCTGGAGAATCAGCTTGGAGGTTAAGAGCACTGGCTGCTCTTGCCGACGACCTGGGTTCAGTACCCAGCAACCACACTGGTGGGTCACAGTGGCCACAGGCCGCAAAGAATGACGCCTTCTTCAGGCCACTAGCACCTACAGTCACGTGCACACACCCACACACACAAATACAGACAACTAAAACAAAATAAATCTATTTTTAAAACTCCTTTGTTTCCAAGCTGGGTTCACACCTTTAACTCCTAGCACCTGAGAGGCAGAGGCAGAGGCAGAGGCAGAGGCAGAGGCAGAGGCAGAGGCAGAGGCAGAGGCAGAGGCAGAGGCAGGCAGACCTCTATGAGCCTGACCTACAAAATGAGCTCCAGGATAGCCAGAGCTATGGAGAGAAGCCCTGCCTCGAAAATTAAACAAACAAAGAAAACCTTTGCTGGGCTAGGAATGGAGCTCAGTTAACAGAGCGCTTGCCTAGCATGTACGAGGCCCGTTCAACCCCAAGCACTGGATAAACCGGGCATGGTGGCCCGAACTTCTAATTCCAGCATTCCAAAGGCAGGAGACCAGCCGTTCAAGGTCGTGTTCGTACGGGCTAACTGCGACCCTGTCTACAAAGACCCCTTAAGACTTCAGGGAGAGGTTAAGGCAGATGCAAACAACCAGTCAGACACACGGTTCTCAGGCGGCACCACGGCAGCATCTCCGTGGGCTCAGAAGCAAAGGTCATCAGTGAGCCCGTGCCTTCTGCCAAGCCCGACCTGCTGAGTTCATTCACGGGGAACCGACGACCACAAGCTGTATTCTGAACTCATGCACTGTGGCCCCTGCACATCCATGTGCAAGGAAATAGATGTGGGAATAACAGTTTTCAATAGCTATTACATAGCTACATATTACATAACATAGATGCAACATAAAACTTTATAGCCATATAATCAGTATCTAATATACAATTATAAATTGAATAAATAACATAATATATTTTATATTACCTATGAAATATATAATGTGGCATATAATATAAAATTACATAACTACATATAATATAGTATATAATATACAATTGTATATTTAATATATAATAGATAATATAATTACTCATAATATTCATAGATATTAATATATTTAATATTAAATATATTTTAATACTGTTTAAATATATGATATATAGTTATATATTTAGCTGCATACAGCCAGCAGACGGACACCCCATGATAAGCCTCTTATGGAGTCTCACTAAGCTTCTGTAAGAACTACAGTGTCTGAAAATGTATCTGCGTGAACTGAACAGTGCTAAGCGTAGCAGGTACGTTACATACGTAAGAGACCTATGGACACTCGTATTGCCACAGACAGCAGGAGGCTGAGAAAACCAAGCAGCTATAAGCACAGGCCGTATTTTACCCGGAGAAAACGAGAGACGGGAGGCCAAGGGCCTTAAAGAGTCGCTCCCAAGCCTTGCGAACGAACTCATCGACTACCAGCTGCGTCCTGTCTGCTGGATCACACAAGTGCATCAACCAGCTTGGCACGGTGGTGCGTGCCTGTATTCCCGGCACTCCGGAGATGGAAGCAGAGGAAAGATGGGGATCAGGTGCTCCAGACCAGCCTCAGCTCCGTGGTGGCACACGCCTCAAAAACCAACCAACCACCAAACATCCAACCAGAGCAACAGGACTAGTAACCTCTGCCTTCATTTTCCCCGTGTAAAGTGGTCACAGCAGCAGTGCGCCTGCGCCTCTGCTGGAGGCCTCCACACCCACCTTTAACTTTAGAGGGGTGGCACTCGGAGCTGCACGGAAGGGAGCGCAGGCTTGTGTGTGCCTTCCTCAGCTTCCACCTGCTATCGTAACGAATATATAAGACCTCCGGAGAGCCAGGCGCGGAGGTGCACGCCTCTGACTCCAGCACTTGGGAGGCAGAGACAGGCAGATCTCTCTGAGTTTGAGGCCAGCCCAGTCTACAAAGTCGGAGACAGCCAGGGCTACACAGAGAAACCCTGTCTCAAAAAAAAAAAAAAAAAAAAACAAGTTCTGAGAGAGTGAGTGCTGGAACTCTGTCTGCTTTTTTAAGACAGGGTTTGACACTGAAGCCCAGGCTGGCCTTGAACTCAAGGCAATTCCCCTGCAGCCTCCCAAACGCTGAGGCGACAGGTATGAACCAGCACAGATGTTAGCGTGCAGATAGCTCAGATCCAGGCCAAACAGGGCTACTCTGTCTCGAAACAGAAAATAAAAAAAAAAGCAGGCATGGAAAATGAATGCCCTGTCAATTCCAGAAGCGGAAATAAACAGTAATAGTCTCATGGGGTTTCTAGATTTCCACTTGTACCCTTGTTTCTGCCTCCATACACGTATGAGCACCCCGGGTGTGTCTGGTGCCCGGAGGTCAGAGGGCGGCCATGGGTCCACTGTAAGTGGAAGTGCGTACAGGTGGTTGTGACAGATGCACTGAGTGTCGGCAACTGAACCGGGGCCTTCTGCAAGAGCAGCCAGTGCTCTTAACCACAGAGCCCGGCCGCGGTTCCCCAAAAAGATACTCCATCTTCTGACTCTCACAGTCAAGCGCTTCCCCTCACACACACACATTAAAAGAGAAACTCATTGTGTTGTTGTTTTTTTTTTTCAAGACAGGGTTTCTCTGTGTAGCCTTGGCTGTCCTGGACTCCCTCTGTAGACCAGGCTGGCTTCGAACTCAGAGATCTACCTGCCTCTGCCTCCCTGAGTATTGAGAGAAAAACTCTTTTTTTTTTTTTTAATGTAAGTTCACACATCCTTTCTTTGGGTAGACAAGGCTTTAGGACAGACACATGCCACTGTCTTTAGAAATAGTGTCACCACTGTTACCTCAGGCTGGCCCCAGACACGTCATCCTCCTGCATCAGCCTCCTGAGTGCTGAGAGGACGAGGCATGCCACCACGCCTGACTAAGACAGCATCTGGCAACTTTCTGGTATATAATAAACAGTACAACAGGACAATACAGCCAGCGCCACAGGGACTGACAATCCTGATAAACGAGAGCAGATTTGCCTTTGGTGGTTGTTTTCTTGTTTCCTGTACATTTTCAATTGCTAGATAACATGTATTGGTAATTCGTAAGATAGTGTGAAATTCTCATGCATGGATTAAGCAACCGGTCAGAATAACTGGCATAGGCATTACTTCAAGTCGTTCCCATTTCTCTTTACAAGTGCTTGCCTGTCTCATGCCAGACTTGCCGGCGCTGACTTGAGGCTCTCCCGCCTCAGTTTCTCCACTCCTGGGACCATTGGCGTGTACCACTGTGCCTGACTATATTATTCACTTTTAAGAGGGGCAGCCACAGGAAGTAGAATTCCTCAGTGGGAACGCCACCGGTTAGCGTTTGCTTGTTCACTGGGCTTTGTGACTTGAGGTAGGCTCTCCCCGTGCAGCCGGAGACTGGCAATCCTACTTCAGGCTCCCAAGTGCTGGGATTCCGGGCACGACCCACCATACCACGTTGCCTATTTTGAACTAAAAATACCTACTCGTTCTGAGTCAGCCGATCCCTCAGCCAGCTTTAGGGGAGTGTCATCCAGCGGTGGTGGAGACTGGCCAGCCCAGCCGCTGGGGATGCCCTTCTTCCCACACTTCACCTCGGGGACACTCGGAGATCCAGAGCCCCACCAGGGATCCCCAGCCTCCCTCGCCCCGGGAAGCCTTGCATCCAGGTGGCGCCAGGCCTTTCGAGATCGATGCCAATGTCACTTTCAGGTCTGAAAATGGCTCTTGGCCAAGGCCAGCAGCGGACTCTGACCAGCCACATGCACGAGCTGTGGGATCCCTCAGGCACGAGCCCAGAGGGATCCCAGCTGCCTAGACGGTCACTCTCTCAGCACACCCGACCCACGCAGAGACACGAAGCACACACCCCCGGGGCCCACGCACCACCCCACACCTGCCAGCACTTGCAGGATCACCCTGGGAGACGCACTGAGGCCACAATGTTTATGTTGGTAAACTCAGCTGGTCTCTCAGACATCCCACACCGCCTCCTGCCCCACAAACACACAGAAGTGGAGGTCAGCTGGGCACCGTGTGACGCAACCTTAATCCCACAACTAGCAAGGCAGAGGCAGAAGGATCTCTGTGAGTACAACGGGGCTACAGAGGCCAGTTCGGGCTACACAGACCCTGTGTAAAACAAAGGAAGGGAGACAAAGGGCTATGTGTATGGTGTGGCTATACGCATTGATACTGACCAGGGACACGTTTACATCATTTTCAGTGTAAATTAGCTGTGTGGGGAGGGGTGGAATGTAACTCAGTTGGTAAAGTGTTTTCCTATCATGAAAAGCCTCGAGTTTCACACACACACACACACACACACCCAGCCACTTCCACCCATGCAACAGGTTGTGGCGGTGCACACGTGCAGTCCCGGGCCTTGGAAAATGAAGAGAGCACGCTCACTCTGAGGGAAATTCAGGTCTCGGCAGAGATGCCGGCCAGGGTCAGCAAGCACACAGGTCACCACCACCTGAGGCTGCAGCAGAGCCAGAAACCTGAACACATAATCGTGGCCAAAGGCTACGCATCAGCTTACCTGGCAGAAGGCCTTCATCTTGTCCAGAACCTTGTTGACCTCTGGCATTACGTCTTTGCCATCCACCATAATGGGTGTGTTGGATCGGTTCCGAAGGGCCACATGGAGCACTGCCCGATTCTAGAGACGAAGGCCAGAGAATGAGGAACTACCACAGGCCCGAGAGTCTGGGTAGTTCAGGCCCCGCACCGGACCAATGGGTCCAGGCATCCATGAACACCACCATCTTTTACAGACAACTTATTTCATGCTTTGGGAGGGAGAGCTACCCTAGGACTGAGCACGGGAAATCCTGTGCCCAGCTCGCAGGCTGTGGACAGTCAGAAGCAGATACAGCAGGGCCCGAGCATGCCTAAAACAGCCCCCGAGGGACCCAGGGCATGAAAAGCCTGACTACGCCCCTTCGGTGGGCTAACGTAACCTCAGCCATCCTGATGACAGAACTCCTTGTTTGTGGCACCTTCTGAAAAAACGTCCCGAGGCCTCAGGATGTGAGGCAAGGCAGGCAGCAGAAGCCCCCCCCCCCCCCTCACCAAACAGCCTCCCTGCCACAACCTTCACACACTAACCCAGAACTGAAGTCTGCCACGGGTGCCAAGCAGCTCACCCGGTCACGAGGGCAAAAGGGCCCGTGGAGCTAAAGACAACAGCAATCTTGGAAGGAAGCTGGTGTAAAGGTCCCGGGTAGCCAGGGGAACCACGGCCATCTGAGGAGAGCTTCCCTGTGGGTGGGAGGGCCTGAGGCCAGCCCACATGCCCCATCTAGTCCCACTCCTCCCCATGTTCCTGAAGCAAATGCACCCCCCACAGGAAGCCCTCCTGGACTGCAGCCTCCCTCACGCAAGCCCAGCAGTGCATGCCCAGCTGTTTATAAGGGCACCTCTGCCCTCTAGGCCTCAGACGCCTCACATGGGAAAAGAACGGGGCTGGAGAGATGGCTCAGCAGTTAAGAGCACATACTTGCCAGGATGGTGGCACACGCCTTCAATCCCAGCAGTCAGGAGGCAGGGGCAGGCAGATCTCTGTGAGTTTGAGGCCAGGTCTACAGAGTGAGTGCCAGGACAGGCAAGGCTACGCAGAGAAACTCTGTCTTGAAAAACAACAACAACCAAAAAAATAAATAAATAAGGCTTCAATTCCCACAGCACAGCACGACAATGGGCAGCTCCAACCATCTCCAGGCGCATCTGACAAGGTGCCTGCGTTTATGTGCACAAACCCACACACTCAAAATTAGAAATAAAATTCAAAAAAACAGACATTGATTTTTTTTTTTTTTTTTTGCTTGTTTGCTTTCTTTTGCAGGGGAGGTTGCAAGGGAGAAAGGCAGATAGGAAGAGACAGGGAGATGAGTGGGATTTGGGGTACATGATGTGAATCAATGAAATGACAGAAAACAAAACCTACAACGGAGTGGCAGTCAGACCATTCAAGAAAACAGTATCATTTCCTAGAAAAGAGTAAGCCAGAGACTGAGAACAGTGTGGGTATGCAAACCAGGCCAGAGACAAGATATTCCAACACTTGTCTCATCCCCACCGCTTACTGCCAAAGAGATGGGAGGGCTTTGCTGACACATTTCTTGCTGACACCAGGACAACTTCCGGCAAGGACCCATCAACGTTGAAGTTCCCCAAGAAAATGTCAGGGCAAGCCTTAGGCAAACCTCTCCCTTCAGGCTTAAGTTGTACCCCTCCCTGGACAGACACCGGGAACTGTCCCAATTTGCTTGCCAAGTCCAGCTGCCAGGCTCAGAGATGTCACACCCCAAAGCTCTGCAACCAGCCCCCAAAGGAACGCCTCCAGCAGCTCATGAGGCAAAAGCATTACTTAAGAGTAAGGGTGAAGACAGAGGCTGAGGCCACTAACAGTCTGATGAGCAAGAGGGAAGGAAGAGGCCTGCGGTGGGTGTGCCGAGTCCGTTGGACCTGCTTACCTCGGTGCTGTTGATCTTCGCACCACTGAACATGCTTTCCCTAGCGGTCTCCACGCCTCTGGACTTGGCCTGGGAAGAGAAGACACTGAGGCCTAGTGGCCATCACAAGCCCAGCCCCCAAGTCCCACCCCGGCAAGGCGGACAGATGGTCCCAGCCTGTTTTCCTTTCCCACTGCCTTTGAGGAGTGTGCTCAGACAGCACACTCTGACAGCCCACGCCCTGGAGATCCCCGGGATGCCACACCAATCGTGGACCCACAACCCAAAACAACCCCCACACCCGAATCCAAGATCAGGTCCATTACCAGGTCCACCAGCATCTGCATCACTTCCTTGTTCACAAGGTTCTTGGAGTAGTCCAACAGAATATGCCCATGGTTGGTGTTGAGGTCCAAGCTGCAGGAGGATGCACAGCCGGCCGGTCACACCCCGGTGGCAGTGCCTGTTGCCTGGCCACAAAGGCAGACCTGCAGCACTTCAGTGCCACAGAACCAAGAGGCAGGCAGACCCCGGGCTAGGAGCCTGGTGTGGATCAAGGAGGGTGCAGCCGCCTTGCAGAACCAGAGCTGCCCCTCCCCCTCCATCCTCCACGTCTCCAACTTACTAGGGAACACCCATGCAGAGGTATCAGGGACTTCCAGTGACGAACCACAGGTGGCCATCTCGTGTCCCTGGCCTCCCGGCATCAGTGACAAGGCATAGCCACACGCGAGAGTCCCCCGATTCTCCCCTCTATTTCGCAGTCGTCCACGGGTCTCTCTGGCCTCTGCATCTCGCCTCCCCGGCACTATTTTTACACCGTGGCTCCCGGGAAATCTCAGCCTTCCCACCCTGCCCGACCAAAGCCCACTAGGTGCAGATGGGAGGGGACAGCTCTCTCCTGCCGGTCGTGCCAGCAGCAAGGGCTGCTCCTCCTCTCCTCCTCCTCCTCAGGGTGGTAAGAAATCCCTTCTCAAATGGCTGGGGCTGGGAGGCGGGGGCGAAGGGACGGAGGGGTCCCCGCGGAGGGGCCTCCGCATGACTAAGCAGCTCCGGCCCTCTGGCGAGCACGCGGGTCCCACGTACCCACTGCAAGGAGGCGTCAAGGACAAAGTGTGGCCCCGGCCTGGGCCCCGCGGGGGCGGCTGGAGGGTCCCAGGAACCCCCGGGGCCCCACCACGCGCGCGCACCTGAATTGACTGAAGCGCTGCGGATCCTGCCCGAAAAGTTTGCGCAGGTCGAGTTCGTTCTTGTTCGCCCGGTACCATTCCTGCAGCTTCTGGAACTGCGGGTTCCGGGTGAGCGCGGCCATGGCGGGACCCGAGAGCTTCACGGAGCTGGACGTGCGCAGAGAGGAAGGAAGGAAGGAAGGAAGAGCGGCAGCGCGCAGCAAGCCGGAGCGGGGCGCGCAGCAGCCTTTATGGCGCAGGCGCTCCGCCCCGCCCCCCGGGTCACGCCTCCGCCCCGCCCCGCCCCGCCTCGTCCTCCGCGCCCGCTGCGCGACCTTGCCGGCGGCCGCGGATCTGGGGGCCTCTGCTGGCCACTGTGTAGCACAAGTGTGGCCGCCTGCGATGTCCCTTGGCTGGCTTCTGCCAGGAAATGACTTGACGGGCGGAGGCGGAGTTTCCCCACGCCCGGTCCGCTTGCTTCTTTCATTCATTCATTCATTCATTCATTCATTCATTCAGTTCAGGAAAACTCCATGGAGCGCCTTCCTGGTTTAGAAGTACTGACGCAAGTATTGTGTGCACCTAAGCCAATATAAGCAATTAGAATTTATGGGATTTGGGAGCTGGCAAGTGCTCCTGAGGAGAGGCAGACTGGAATGGGCAGGAGAGATTAATCTGTAGTTAAGGATACATATTCCTCTTGCGGAGGACCTGGGTTGAACCCCCAGCGCCCCCATAGGGTAGCTCCCGCTGCAGGCACCTTTCAATTCCAAGGCATTCTCGTGCACATACCCATCCTACCCACGTAATTAATAATAAAATTATATGTCCACCCCATACACATGATTAGTAATAAGATTATACGTATATACTTTAAGGGCATGTTGGGGAAAAGCGCTGCAGTTTTAAATAGCTGGTTAAGGAAAAAAAAAAAAACTCGCTCTTTATTATATTTGAGTAAAAGCATGAAGGGGAAGAAATGAGCCAACTGGCTACCTGGAAGGAAAGCGTTCTGTCAAAAAGAAGAGAAACCGCAAAGTCTGAGACAAGAGCGGGCATAGAACAGAAGGCACCTGTGGCTGGCGTGGAGCAGATGAGGGGAAAATCACAGAGGATGACATCAGAGAGCAGGGAGTTCCCCTAGTGGCCTGCAAATCCTTGTGAGAAAATTCTTTTTTTTTTTTTTTTGTTTAGAGATGAGAAGCCCCTGAAAGGCACAACAGAGCAGAGACTTTCTCTGACACATTGTACAAAGGATCGGAGTGATGCAAGACTTCAGTGAAATTAAACAGGTCCGGAGGGAGGGAGGCGGCTTCAGTCAAGGCGGGGGAGGTGGACTGAATGAAGAATCCACCTTCCTAGGGAGAAAGGTCAAGATATCTAGTTTTGGATCTAACTTCCTGGGGGAGGGGGAGGAATGGAATTTTCACCCACAGTTCTGATGAGGAGCAAGGAAGGCTTCTAAGGAGGAAGAGCAGGCAACGTGCGAGTGTGTGTGTGTGTGTGTGTGTGTGTGTGTGTGTGTGTGTGTGTGTG